TTCCAAAGCCCTTAGACTTGTACGAGGACACTTCCCAGGAGGTTTGTGGGGGTGGATCTGGAATGTGACCCCAGCAGCAGTTGTCCTCACTTGCCCACAGGGGGGCCCAGTGTGAGAGTGACATACGTGACATCACCAAGTGATCAGAGCCTCTCCCCGGGGACAGTTTGTCCCAGCTTGTGGCTGTTTGTCATTCTGCCTCTGACCTCAAGTTTAAAATTTCATTCATAAGTTTGGAATCATGAACTTGGCTGCTAGAGAAGGGCCCTTGGAGATCAGCTATTCTAGTCCAACCCCCTCATATTACAGATGGAGGAAAAAAAACAACCCTGAGGTCCAAAGAGAGGCACACACATAGCAAGGTCATGGGGCAATTTTCTGTTAGAAGGAGGAGTTGGTTTGAAGTCAATTACAGATATTCTTGTTCTGTAATTAGCAAATATAGCTGAGCCTCTGAATCACTTGAGGAGCTCTTTATTTTTTTATTTTTAAAAATATATTTTATTGATTTTTTACAAAGAGGGAGAGAGATAGAGAGTTAGAAATATCGATGAGAGGGAAACATCGATCAGCTGCCTCCTGCACAACCCCTACTGGGGATGTGCCTGCAACTAAGATACATGCCCCCCCCGCCCCCCCGCCCCCCCCCCCGCCGGAATCGAAACTGGGACCTTTCAGTTCACAGGCTGTCGCTCCATCCACTGAGCCAAACCAGTTTCAGCTTGGTGAGCTCTTTAGATTTACAGATCTCTGCACTGTGCTTCTGAAGATTCAGACTTAGCTAGAATCTGCTATATGATCTATTCCTTAGGTGATTCAGATGGAACAGGGCCATGGGCTGCCTTTGCAAGTTGAGTCCAATGCCCCTCTTTTGTTGTGTAGTTTGGTATTCTAAGAACCAGCATAGGACTTGCCTACGGTCACATGGCAAGTCAGTGTAGTCCTAGCTCAGGCTTTGTGGTCTGAACCCAAAGCTCGTTCTTCTTCTCCAGCTGCCTGGAGTCAAATTCTTAAAATGGACCACGGAGGCTGGCCAAGGGAGTTACTGCGGTTTTCCCCAGCGCTTGTTTTCCGTGTTGCACCTTAACGAAAACACAGGACGGTGCCCATTGCGAGGGCTAAGAATGGTGAGCATTTCAGAGCTGGCATCCTTCAAGGAAAAGGAAACTGCAGTGGGCTGTCCTGCTGGCCCTTGGGGGTTTCCCAGAAACAAAATTCCAGGCTCTGAGGATACCAGCACCAGCTCTCCAGCCTGTCTCAACTCTGGGCATTTTCCATTTCAGAAGAGTGGGCGGGGAGAGCCTTTCCTCTGTGGGAGGAGAGGGGTGGACAGGGTCCAGCTGTGACGTCAGGTGACACACCTCGGGAAGAGCCGCACGTCCCAGCACCTGGCAGAAAGACGGAGCTGCTTTCAGGAACTAAGCTAAATCTCAAGCACTTTTCCTGAGCCTCTCCTCCCATCACCCTCACTCCTTTACCTAGAGATACCCGAGTGAGGGCTTCACTGGTCCTTTTCCACTCCTCACTACTCCACCACTCATTCAGTTAGCTAGCTTTCTTTCTTTCTTTCTTTCTTTCTTTCTTTCTTTCTTTCTTTCTTTCTCTCTCTTTTTTCTCTCTCTTCTCTTCTCTCTCTCTCTCTCTCTCTCTCTCTCTCTCTCTCTCTCTCTCTCTTCTCCTCTCTTCCTTCCTTCCTTCCTTCCTTTCTTTCTTTCTTTCTTTCTTTCTTTCTTTCTTTCTTTCTTTCTTTCTTCCTTCCTTCCTTCCTTCCTTCCTTCCTTCCTTCCTTCCTTCCTTTCTTCCTTTGTTTCCTTTCTTTCTTCCTCCCTCCCTCCCTTTCTCTTTCTTTTCTTTCTTTCTTTCTTTCTTTCTTTCTTTCTTTCTTTCTTTCTTTCTTTCTTTCTTTCATCTTTCTTTTTTTCTTTCTTCATCTTTCTTTCTCTTTCTTTCTTTCTTTCTTTCTCTTTCTTTCTCTTTCTTTCTTTCTTTCTTTCTTTCTTTCTTTCTTTCTTTCTTTCTTTCTTTCTTTCTTTTTATTCTGGAAACATATCTTGGTGTTTGGAGTCAGATGTCATGGGGTTTGAACCCTAATTCAGCTTCCTAAGAGCTTCTAATCTAGGTAGAGTCACCCCCTCTCTGAGCCTCAGTTTTTACTTTTCTAAAGTAAGATAATATCTATCTTCTTGGATTGTGAGGATGAAACAAGATCATGTAGGTACTTAAAAAGATGTTTTCTCAGAAACACTAGGTCCTGTAATTAGGGGCGAGAAGGATTTGACTATGTGCAGGGTGTGCAAAAGTGGGTTTACAGTTGTGAGTACACTAAACACAGTTTATTCTTTGTGGTTTTATTTATTACTCTTATTAACCTACTTTTGCCCCACCCCTTAATTTCCAGTGAAACAATTTTACTTGACACATAAAAGCATACATGTTTCTGTCACATAGGAGGGGGCAGCATTAGGATCTTGGTTTCTAAGATAAGATTCTTGGGAAATGAATTAGAAAGGGAGCAAGATATAGCCTGGAAAGCAGACCATTACGGTTGCTGGGAAGCTATAAAGGATGGGAGGATCTTATTCAAATGAGTGTACATTTAACAGAGGTCAAGAATGAAGAGCATGATGTAAGCAGTGACGCTGGCATCTCTTTCCACAGCAAAGACTCACCCCCAGATGGAGGCAGCCGGATGAATTTGGCAATTCTGACTGTAGCAACATACTGTGGCTCCTCTGTTCTCTCTCTCTGGATTTCCAGTTCAGTCACCCTTTTCCCTGAAGAGGAAAAGCAGGGTCTAGGTCATGGGCACTGCTCCATGTTCCATGAAGCTGGCCAGGTTTATGTCCCGTTCTGACAAGCCTGCACACTTATGGGTGTTCAGGGTGATGTGGACCTAGGTGTACACATTAAACCATTCCGGATCGTGGTCCAGTGTCTCGGCCTGAAGGGCCACTCTTGTTCTGAAGCCAAAAGCCCTGCTGAAAGTTTTGAAATAGAACTGCTTGAAGATGACATTTGGCTTTTTGCCCTCAGTAGAGGGCCGGCCCCTGGTCCCTCTCCTCAGCATTAAGCCTGTGTGCTTTGTGAGCCAACAGGGTGAGCAGTAGGTGGCGATAGAGAGGGTGAGCGCAGCGACAGGTGCACCCACCACCGCTGTATTTTTATTGAACTGAACTGAGGCACTTGAGGTTGATTGAGCTGGAAAGTCCCTCAGAAATCTCTGCACCTTCATAACTTCCAACTGGAGTCTAAGTGAACTGTTTATAGTAGTTCCAAACGATAAGGGAAATCACATACTTTCTCATGATAAAGTCTCAGGTTTCTTTACTTTTGTCTGGACTTGTATCACCCAAGGTGATAATATGGTTATCACATGCTGTTCAGAAGTTCTGATTGGTAGTTACATGGGTCTTTGGTACTTTTTTTTAATGGGAAAATAATTAGCAGAGGGTAGATGAAGTGTTGGAAAACATTATTGTCTAACTCCCCATTCCATTAGCAGGGAAGCTAAGGTTAAAGAGGGAAGTGGCTTGCTAGTCCTGCAGCTCGCACCGCTGGTTGGAAAACCCAGGGTGCCTTCCTGGAACTAGTTACTGCCCTTCTTTTCACGGGGGAGGGGCTATTATCCATGAAGTTGAGGGGTTTTGTTCTGCTGGTGCAGGAATAAAGTGACTCATCAGCTTGCTGTTGCCCTTTCTCTGTTCTTGACTCATTCAGCAAATGTTTACAGACTGTCCACAGTATTTGGGCTCAGAAGAGAAGCCTGAGAGAAAACAGTCATGGCGGCAAGCAGTCAGGATCTGCTCCCAGGACCTTCAGGACTTCTGAACCTCTTGGTTTTTGTTGTTGTTTTTTTTTTTTTTTTTTTTTTTTTTGTGTGTGTGTGTGTATGTTTCTCATTATAAATACGAATACGGATACAAGATGTGTGTGTGTGTGTGTGTGTGTGTGTGTGTGTGTGTTTTCTCATTATAAATACGAATACGGATACAAGATAAAACTCCCACCACTCTGCCTTCTAATGAAGCTTTGTCTGAGGGCAGGGGCTCTCTTGCAGTATGAATCCAAACGTCACTGGAACTAAGGTATCAAATCAACGCTGTGGTGCTGGCAATTCCTGAATTCGAATCCCCAGGGCCACTCGCTCCCGTCCCTGACGCAGACAGCAGCATGTTGCTCTCCTCACTGACCCTCAGGTCACTCATCTGTGGGACGCGAACAACGGCAAAATCGTCGGCGGGAGAGCTCGTAGATTCATTACAAATGTCCCAGACTTTACGGGGAAGAAAATACTGGAAATCGTTGCTAAAGAGAGTCAACATTTCCTTGCCCTTGACTACCCCTCTTTCTTCTCCCGCCTAGTTGCTCTCTTTTTCTTCAAAATCCCCCTCTAGAGGGCACGCAAGCTCTACGATTCTCTGGCCTCACTTCCGACCGCCGGCACGCTCCACTGCTTCGCTTTACGCATGCGCACGCCCTCGCTGCCCGCACCCACCGCGCCTGCGCAACCGAAGCCCCGCCCCTCCGCCTCTGTCCCCGGAAACGCTTCCTTCCTACGCAGCCGCCGCCGCAGCCCGGGTCGCAGGAGTTTTGCCTCTCTAGGCTGGTGGGGCCTCTCCTCCATGGTCCTGTCTGTCTGGAGTGTTTCGGGGGCCGGCCGGTGAGGCAGGCTGGGCCGCGCTCGGACCTTTGGATCCTCGAGTCGGTCACCGGTGAGTGAACCCCGAGGGGGCTGGAATACGGGAGAGGCCCGGGCAGCCGGACGGGCAGGGTCCCCCCTCACTCTGGGAATGGGTCTGTCCGCCCCCCCCCCCCCATTCCCGGAATGGGCTCGCCTCCTCCGTCCCAGCCCCTCCTCCCGGGCTGGGTCGCGTTGCCATGGTAACGGCCGGCTGGCTGAGGCTCGGCGTGTGTCCCGGCAGGTGCCGGGGCGTCCTGGAGCCCATGGCGAGGCCGCTCTGACTCGGACCCCCGGCGGAGGCCGGCCCCCGCGGGCAGGCATGGCAGGCCAGTTCCGCAGCTACGTGTGGGACCCGGTGCTGATCCTGTCGCAGATCGTCCTCATGCAGAACGTCTACTACGGCTCCCTGGGCCTGTGGCTGGCGCTGGTGGACTGGCTGTTGCGCGGCAGCCCCTCGCTGGACCAGATGTTCGACGCCGAGGTACGGTCCTCAGACGAGCGCGGGTGGGTGCCTCGGCCTCACGGAGTGAGCTTTGTGGTCCGACACCACCGGGCTGGAGACCTTGCTGAGCTTGGAGGCCCCGGGCAGGGTCTCTCCTTACTGAGCCTTTGCTGCCCCATCTGTAAAATGGAATGGCGAGTGGCTGATAACAGAGGCTGATTTAGTACAAAGGAAAGGGACTGGGTGTTATAACAAACAGGCCAGCGTCCTAGGCAATCTGATGCACCTCCTTTCCGACCCTCTTGACTTCACTTCTCTGAGCCCCCAAATTCTCAGATGCCAAACTGGGGAGTGGGACGGGTAGCAGTATTCAAGGAGATGTAATGGAAACTGCCTGGACTTTGGAGTCAGGCCTCCGCTTAAGTTGTATTTACTAACTGTGTGGCCTGGGGCAAGTATCATAGTATTTCTCAACCTCAGTTTTTCTGTTCGCAAAGTGATGAGAACAGTAGCAGAGAGGCCGTGAACTGCGGTATAAAGAGCCTGCATTTTTTATTCAAAAACTCGGTATTCAATCTCGGCCCAAACATACTAGCTCTGGGACTTTGGGGCAAGTTGTGTCACCTTTCTGAGCCTGTTTCCTTTTCTGGAAACCAGACAGAATAATTCTCAGCAAAATATTATGAGGCCCAGAGGGGCCTAGGAATGTGGAAGAACTTTATGAAGTGCAATGGGGCCCTAGGAGATATTTGCATGGGAAAGGCAGCTGTGGTGTGTCGTAATGAGCCCTGTTCTTGGAGCCCTGAGATCTGGGACAGATTTCCTACTCCTGTTGCTTATTTTGTGTAGCCCTTGAGTAAGTTTTATTCAAAAAGAGGTAAGAATAACAACAAAAATAATGGCTTTGTGAGGTTGTTGTGTGGATAATATGAGATTATGGATTTCAAAGGCCTTTGTTGGCTGAAAGAGTTGTGCAGGTGTTTGGTCATCAGTAGTGTTTGACACTGTGGTGAAGGTTACACCCCTACAGGTGCCTAACTAGTCCCCTCTTAGGAGCCTCGGTCCTCCTGAGAAGGGCATGTGGGAATCGGAGGCTTTGTTGAAGACCATCTCATGCACACACAACCTGAATTCTAGACCAGGGGTGGGCAAACCTTTTTTTAAAGGATGAACTAGTAAAGGTTTTAAGTCACAACTACCCAACTCTGCCATTGTCGCTCAAAAGCTGCCTTAGACAATACTAAGTGAATAAGTGTGGCTGTGTTTCAATAAAACTATTTACCAAGAGAGGTGCCTGGCCCTGGGGCCATAGTTTGCTGAACCTTGCTCTTGCTGTTTACTTACTATATCACTTTAGGCAAGTTACTTAACTTCTCTGAGCTTTTATTCCTCTTTTGTAAGATGAGTTAATGACACCTTCCTGGCTGCTGTGAGGGTTCAAATGAGATGCCATGATGGATGCTTGTGAGAGCACCTTGTGGAAAGGCTGCCATACAGATTAAGGTGCATATTGTCTTCTGTGCTCTGGGAAGAGTTTCTTAGGATGAGGTCCTGGAGCCTGGGGCTCTACCAAGTCACTTGCTTAGCCTGTTTCCATTTGTGATTCCCCCTCAGATCCTGGGCTTTTCCACCCCTTCAGGCCGGCTCTCCATGATGTCCTTCATCCTCAACGCCCTCACCTGGTGAGTATCACCAGTTTTGCTGTCCAGCTTTTGGGGTCTTAGCACTGGAACTAACTTCCTACATGTGGACATGAGACACGTTGGCATTTGTTCCTGGGGAGTGGGCTAGAGTGGGTGGCAGGGGCCAATTCAGGGACTGGCTCCATCACAGGGCTCCTTTTATCGCTGTTTGGACTTAGCTGGAAAGTTATATGTCACTCTGTGCATGCTGCCTGTGGGACACCTTCTGTCTCAGTTCACTTCCTTGATGTGGAATGAGGTGAGGAAAGGAGCAGATTGGGAGTCAGGAGAACTGGGTTCTATTCTTGCTCCCTGTGACACTGACCACGTTATTTTCCTCCTCTCTGGGCCTCGGGCTCCTCATCTGTGCACTGAGGGGTTTCCCTGGTAAGGTCTAATGTCACCCCTGACCGCTGCCTTCCTCTTGAGAGGCAGGTTAACATAGCGATTAAGATCTCAGGCTCTGGAAGCAGACTCACCTGGCATTGAACCTCAGCTTTCCCACTAGTCTAGTGACTATAGACAAGTTAATCTGTCTAAGCCTCAGTTTTGTCTTTAGTAAAATTAGGCTAATAATATTACTCATTTCATAGTTATAAGGATTAAATGAGCTAATTCATGGAAGTACTTAGAACAGTACCTTGCATATTAACTGCTCTTGATCTGTAGGTTGGAAACTGGTGGGTTGACTCCAATTTGGCTTCCAGATAGGTTGTTTGGCTTACACAGTTGTCAGTACATGCATGGTTTAGAACATTTTCCCATTTAGTTAAAAGGATATATTAAAAAATCCAGATTTCTGGCTGCTCTTGAAAAATGAGAGGATTGATTCTAAGCCACACTTCTAGCGTGCTGATGTACCCATGCTCTAAGTAGCACTTGTTCCCACTTTAGATGGAGTGTGTATGCTTCAGGGTATTACAGTGCTCACCCCAATTCCTGGGACTCCCCTGAGTGACAGTTGCCATTTGTCATCAACCTTGTCTTTTGCTGTTCTTCTACCCAGCCTGACTCACTCTCAGCATTACCTGCCAGGTTCCTCTAGCATTTAATAATGTAATCCTTGCTTCACACTTACCTCGCTTGCTTCTGATCTCTATGCTGTCATCCTAATTGTCCCCACTCCCCAGATAACCTAACGAAGGCCAGGACAACCCAGTGACAACTCACTGCTGTCCTCTCCCCACAGTGCCCTGGGCTTGCTGTACTTCATCCGGCGAGGGAAGCAGTGTCTGGATTTCACTGTCACTGTCCATTTCTTTCACCTCCTGGGCTGCTGGTTCTACAGCTCCCGTTTCCCCTCGGCGCTGACCTGGTGGCTGGTCCAAGCCGTGTGCATTGCGCTCATGGCTGTCATCGGGGAGTACCTGTGCATGCGGACGGAGCTCAAGGAGATCCCCCTCAACTCAGCCCCTAAATCCAATGTCTAGAAATGGGTTCTTTGGACACCCCGCTGGGCAGTTGGCCCCCCAACGCATTGGGCTGCTCACACCCTCCAGATGAGGTCCAGCCCAGGTCTGAGAGGAACCCTGGAAATGTGAAGTCTGTTGGTGTGGGAGAGATAGTGAGGCCCTGTCAAGAAGGCAGGTAGCAACCAGGATCAGAGCTGCAAGATTGGCCTCCGTCTGCTGAAGCCTTGGGATCTGGGAGGTCAGCAAAGGGATCTGACCTTGGGACCCGGGAGGTCAGCGAGGGGACCTCTTTCAGGGTAATAACAGATTGGAACCATGTCACTCTTGAGCCATCATACCTGTCACCAGCCTGTTATTTAAAAAAAAAAAAAAAAAAAAAATCAAGGATATCTGATTGGAGCATACCACTCTTCTAGTCATCTGTCTTGTCTCCTTGGGACAGTGTTATCTTGGTCATGTTGTTGCAGCTTTTCTGTTTGGAGAAACGCTTGATGTCTGGATTCATAACCTCAGAAAAAGATGTAGGTTCAAAGTATTAGGCTGCTATCAGGGAGAGGACAGCAGATGGAGGCTATCAAACACAAGGAAAATGCACAACCTGTGTTCTGTTGTGTACATCTGTGTGCACCCATGAACTTATGATTAACTTGCAGTTTTCTCTATTGGGTACCCCCCTGCTGCCAGCTTCCAACATAGCAGGCTCTAGGACCCAGAGAAGAGTCCCGGCATCTCTCTCAACCTAACCCTGACTTATTTGGAATTCTCAGTGAGAGGGGCATGATGGGTGCCCAGAGATGGGAGGCCCAACCTTCCAGCTTGACCTGTACTGACAGGGCTGAGGGAGATAGGAATTTGCTGTTAAGATTTTTCTTGGGAGTGGAGTGTCCTTTGTGAGGGGCAGCAGCTGTCCTTCCTATGTACGTAATACCGTTTTTTCCCACAGTTCTGCCTGTACTTGGTAATGTCATTGTGAGAGAGCAGCATAGCCAGGCAAGGGAGCTGTATGGAAAGAATTACCAGTTCACCTTCTCCTGGACCCAGATTGTTCCTCCATTTGGTTAAAATACTAAGTGCAGGGAACTCCTATGTCCCACCCCCTCCACCTCAGGCTCCTCTGCTACACCTTAGGTGAACTGCCATGACTCCAGGACTCCTTTCTCATTTGCTGGTGATTTCTGAACATGTCCAGGAACACTGGTCTAGACCCACTTCTGCATTGAAACCATTGGTGTCCTCTTTGGATCCTCTCAAGTCCGCCCAAGAGAGCTGTCAGTTTTCAGATTTTAGTGTTAGGGCTACAAAGGTGAGTTTGCATCCCCCAGGAAGCCTTTCTAGCTTCCTGGCCCAGCGCTCCAGAGGAGGGCATTGAGGCAGACAAGATGAACGTTTAAGAGAGAATGTGCCTGGGCAGAGGCTGGGAAAGTGCAAGAGTGAGCACCTCCCTAACTTAGCCAGGGTGCTCTGCCTAAGCTGGGAGGAAGAACCGTATTCTACTGCTGGCTACACGGTCCAGGAGGCAAGGCCCACTGAGATGACTTCCCTAGTTGGTGGGTTCCCTTCCAGACACACAGACTCTAAAGGCAACTGACTAACTTTCAGAAAGGCATCAGCACATTCCTGTGGCTGCCATCTCCTTTGGTCAGCTGTGGTGGTCTCTCCCCCTGTGATGGCACACTCCTGGGGGGTTTCCTTCGAGAGCTTGTGCCGTGCTGCATATTTCCTGTGATGGGAAATCTCTGCCCCTTGAGTGTTAATTTGATTTTTGGATAAGATATGTGACCTCAATGAGATTTATTTTTCCAGAGAGAATTGGGCAATGTCAGTGATGTCATTTTAGTAATAAAAAAGTCTATTGAGTGCTTAATAGATGTACAACAGTGGGCTAAGTGTTTTACATCTTCCTGCTCATTTAGTCTTCAAGACGACTTCCTGAAATAGGAAATATCTTCTGTATTTTACAGATAGGAAACTGTAAGGAATTTGCCAAAGGTTGCAGGTTAGGAGCTGGCAGAGCCAGGATTTGGGCTTCAGTAGTGACATGAATAAATTCATTCTGAAGACTTAAATAGTTAAAGGCTGTATAAATTCTTATTGGTTAAATAATCTATCACCTTATAATCATACCTCCATACCCTACTATACTGTTTTCTGTTTTGTTTTTAAATATATTTTTATTGATTTCAGAGAGGAAGGGAGGAGAGAGAGATAGAAATTTATAGGCTCCCTCCTACATACCCCTCACTGGGGATTGAGCCCAAAACCCAGTCATGTGTCCTGACCTGGAATCAAACTATGACTTCCTGGTTCATAGGTTGACACTTAACCACTGAGCAACACCAGCCGGGACCTATTGTACTGTTTTAAATACTAAGAATGTATAGTGCTTTGTAAACATTTCTAGCTTTCTAAGAAAAACTGATATACATTAAAAAAAGAAAAAGAAAAAGAAAAACATATGCATTAAATACGGCCACAGATTTCCAAGTAAACAGGAATGTAGGAAATGTTTTTCTTTCCAAGGATAAAGGAAAGTTGTATCCACCCCACCACTGAGTTGGTATATCTCTTGACTTTTCTAGAGTCTGAATTCTGGACCTTCTTTTATCCTACCCACTACCTAAACTCGGTCTATTTGGAGAGAAGTGGAGACTAATGAGTGGCAGGTGCTCAGAATAGTTTATAACCCACGGGAAGGATGGGAGAGGAGGAAGAGATGGTGCCTCCGAGGCTGCCTCTAACTTCTAGTTCTAGGCACCTGTCCAGATCCGAGCCAAATGGGCCAGGTGGCAGTCAGTAGGCAGCAGGGGTGGGTGGGAAGCTCCAGGTCCCCATGAGTCCTCTGGAGTGAGTTGCTCCAATAGGCGCCCTGGAAGCAGTTTCTTAGACCTTAGACTTTCCTCAGTGACTCTCAGCTCAGGCAGCTTCCTCTGGCAGTCACAGAAGGCAGGCAGTGTGCAGTGAGGAACTCCTGCCCGGCGACCACAGAGCCTCCAGAGCTGGGGGGTGGGGCAGATTCAAGGCACGAGAGTGGCTTCTCTGTGGAGAGGGACTTAAAAGCCACTGTGGTGCTTGAGGTTTTCTGTAGGAAATTAGGGAAAGGTGGTGCAAACAGCATTGAGATGAGGGGGTAGATGGAGATAAGGGTTTCAGTCCCTGCCCTGGGCAAGTCAAAATTCTAGGGGTCTAGTGGAAGACTTTAGAGAGCTTAATGCATTGCAGAGTTAAATTATTAGCTGAGAGACTGGATAAGCTACTTAACCTTTCCCTACCTTGGTTTCTTCATTTGTCAGCCAAGGATGATAATAGTACTTCCCTGGTGGTTGTGAGGATTCACCGAGTCTCGTGTAAAACACTCAGCACTGGCCTGGCGCTTATAGGAAGTGGTCCATAAGTCCTTTATAGTTTTGCCCCTCCCTGCCCCCCCCCAGTTGTACAGAGAACACACCTTTCTTCTGAGCCAGCGAGTATTGCGCTCCTATGTGCCGGGCACTGCAGTGACACGCACTCTCACTTAATGAAAGAGAGAGGCACCGTTATTTTCCTTATTTTACAGACAAATTGAAGATAAGGAGGAAATTGAGAGTAACAGCTAGGCCCGTCTGCTTCTATAGCTTCATATTTTCATGTTCCAGTTAACATTTGAGTGGCACATGATTCAGCTAGGGGGAGGGAAGTCTCAGGAATCCAGATGCCACCTTAGCAAAAGGTTGTGAATATGAACGTAGGATTGGCTTTTTAACAAGCTGCCGGTTCCTTTCGTGGGCAGTGCGGCAGCTGCTCATTAAATGAGAAACGGGGCCAGTACTGGCCTTGGGGCTTTATTATGATGCAAGGCCAAGGAGAAGGCATGGAAAAAAGGCCAAACATTTGTTCAATACCTCTCAAGCTGGCCTTGACCACATCTAGCCTGATTTGCTCAAAGCCCTCTGGAATGGATATTAGTATTCCTATTTAATAGACAGGTGAAATAGCCTCAGAGAGGTCATGTGACTTGTTAAAAAGTCACCCAAAACTTTAATCCCCTTCCTTGTCTAGTAACTCTTAGGGAGCCATTTCTGGGGTGGCTTCTGATCCCAAATCAGGATCTGAGCCCAGAAGAGAAGCCTCAGATTGAAGTGGTTAAACAAGGGGATGCTGGAGTGGGACTGTGGCAGTGCAGGCTGCCTGAAGACCACGTGATACTGCAGGTGACTATAAGGCTGGAAAAGGTGCACCAGCTAGGAGTCACACAGAGGCCTGAATCCTTCATCACCTGGGTGCACTGGCTCCTGTCTACTTCATGGCATTCCCTGTGGGCAGCTCTGTCTCCCTTGGGGCAAAGCCAAAGCTGCCAATCTTTTCAGACCCCCAGTTGGGGTTCCCTGGTTAGGCTCCCACAAAGGATAGTTCAGGTCCCATCCTTGCCCTCCTCCTGTTTTTGGTTGGGAGCACACTGTCCTGACCAGTGGCCTGGTGAGAACACAAGACAGAAGTTCACAGACCGTGGCAGGAATGAATGGAAAAATGGAGTAGAATGTTATTTTCGAAGATTGATGACGTCCAGCAAGGGAACCAAAATGGAGACTCAGGAATTAGGCTGGATTGCAAGCTGAGTGGGAAGACAACTCCAATTGAGGTTACTGGGGAGTGCTTGCACAGAAGTTGTGGGGCCTGGGTAGGGAGTGGAGGATGCACGGTAGATAGGGGAGCACTGTGGCAGGAAGAGAGCCTGCCGCCTTCCCCAGGCAGAGCCCTGCAGAGCAGAGCAGCCACTGCAGGGCACCCAGGCTGTCCCACTGTCCCCAGAGAAATGTGTTCCATTTCCTGCTGGTTGCTCAGTCATGGTGCTAAACACCAGTGGGGTGAAGGATTATGGGTGGGAAGGTTCAAGGGGAGCCCCCCTCATCCTTTTGCCTCTCTCCCAATCTGGGGAGCCCTCTCCATAACTGTCCTGGCTCCTGAGGGTGGGAAGGGGAGTGGGGTCAGGGATGACTCTGCTGCTTTCCTTGAGGCATCTGTTCAGCTCATCCTGCCTCTAGGGGAAGGAATAGGGAGGATTGTAGTATTAGAGAAAGCCTGGGCCTTCCTCTCCCCAACTGCATGTTTAGGGCCCTATAGCTTCTATTGACAGAGGGTGACTCCCACTGGATGGATTGACCAGGGCTTGGATAATGTATGGTGCCAAGTCATATGGGAGCAGTAGGAACACGGTGCCAGGTTCCCGCCTGACTCTGTGCTTTTCGTGATCTGTGACTCAGGTGGGGGCCAGCGACACCCACTTATTGACACCAGCACTGTGATAATCAGGGTGCAAGCAGGTGTGTGACGGCTGTTTCCTTTCTTCTGAAAGGGGAATGGGGAGCAGCTAGGAGACTGAGATCAGAAATCTTGCTCCACCTCTCCTAGTGGCGTGAGCCTGGGCAAGTACTTGCCTTCTCAGCACTGTGGTTTCCTTCTCTCCTGGGCTTGCAAGAGCCATTGTGAGGCATCCAGCACCCAGGGAACACCCGAAAGCACTCAGGAGATTTTCCCTTTCTATGACTTCATAGAGTACTGTCACACAGTTCGGTGAGGTGGGGAGGGGTGCAGCTCTCTGGCTTATTTGTTGCTGGCTCGAGACTGACCTTAGAGTCCTGGGAAGGGGGTGGAAGAAGCTTGAGAATGATATACACTCTCCCCTCACCTCTGCGGAGGGCCTCATGCCTCCAGCCTTTCCAGCCCCAGGCAAATAGGCAGGGCTAGAAAAGTATTCTTCAGTGTCATATGGGAAATTTTATTTGTATACTCTTGAATTTTCCCATCCAACCCACCCATTCAAGATGATTGTACGATTTCCATCCTCTGCTCCCATCCGAGGTCTACACAACCTGCGAGCAAGATGTCGGTGTTAGAGCTAAGAAGGCCTCTAGGAGGCGCTGCCGTCCAGGGAGAAGGCTTAGGGACGGGACATTGCAAGGTTTGACAGGTTTTAGATAAGGATTTTGTGAAGGGAAAGCTTCCTTTTCCACTGGACTCCCAAGCCCACCCCCCCCCCCCCTTCCTTTCTTGGTACCTGATTCTCTCTTGGAGGGGCTAGAGTCTTTTTTTTTTTTTTTTCATGCTAAGGAAGTTTTTCAGAGTACATCTTTTTTGAAACATGAATTAATAAAACAAATGGAGAGTTCATTTGGTCTGTGTGTCAGAGCCCTACTTGACCACATCACCTCCCCCCACATTTAGGAATTCCTAAAGTGCTTACTCAGACTTCTGTGAGACTCCGAGTCATAGCAGTTGTGGCCCCTCCTGAGGCCTCCAGGCAGTGGGAAGGCCTACCTCAGAACTCACACTCCCAGGATGTGCCTTTCCTTCCCTAGAACTCACACTCCCAGGATGTGCCTCTCCTTCCCTTGGATCCTGAGAGGCTCCAGCCTAGCCACTAGGCTGGTGTGTGGTCTTGGTCAATGGTTTGCCCCTCTCTGAGCTTCCCTTTCTAGTCATAAAGGTGCGGCCTCCCAGCACTGCCAGCAACAGCCCCCAAGACTGTATTCTAAGGCCTCTGTTTCTGGGGCCCAGCTCTGGGCCTGGCTAGAGGCCTGCACCCTCACCCTGTCCTGGCAGTGACGTCATCATACCCTGTATGGATGGTGCATCGACAGCTCAAGTGATGCAGAGCAGAAACGGGTACAGCAGCGCTTGACTAAGCGCATGGTGGATGGTCTGCACATCACCCGGGGTCCTGGGAGGTGGATTCGCCTGGGCAGCCCCTCAAACCAGTTCCACTGGTCAGCTACCTCCAGCTGCTCCTTGTCCCCTTGGTGGGGCTTCAGGAAGATGACTCCAGGGTCTCCAGTGGGTAGTTGCCTCCCCCAGGCTCCAGGGCAAGTGATCAAGCCATGACCCCCTGATGTCTTTGGGATCTCAGTCTCCATCTGTTCTTCTCCTCCCTCTGGTACTGCTGCACGTGACTGCTGGACCTTTTTCTTCTCCAGCACCCTCACCTTGGACTTCAACTCCTTAGGCTTCCCTAAGTTCTTGGGCTTCAGTTTCTTCTTGGAGCACTTAGCCTCTTGGAGTCCTTCATTGTTCTGGCCCATGTTAGTGCACACAGTGTTGTTCCTGGCAAGGAGAGGAACAGCAGTCAGCAGAGCAGGACTGAGGCCTGGTCCTCTTGCCTGCCCCCGAGGCAGCTGCTGTGCAGCCAGCTCAGGGGAGCCTGTGAAGAAAGCTAGGGCAGGCCTGGAAAGGAACTTCTCTACCACCTGGGGGCAGGGGCTGTGGAACCTATTGGCAGCAGGGATGTGACAGGTTGGGAAGGCAAAAGGTTAACAGGTAGGGCACCTGGGAATATTGACGGTCTGCATCAGCCACTAGGTTAGGCCTCTGCCTGTCTGGATTTCACTTGATGGGGTGAAGTAGTCCAATGTTTTGTTTTGTTTTGTTTTCAGATCATGTTCCAAGAAACCCGAGGGTTCTGAGGAATTCCTCCCATAGCCCCCAGTGGCAGGGTGAAGGCAGGAGACCTTCCCTCACAACAACACAATTGGGGCTTGGGGACGGATTTTGAAGAGAGGTTCTGCTGCTTTAAAAGGGTTGGAAAGCAATGGGGCTAGATGATCCTGACCCTCTGGCTCAGTGTTTCCTGATTACCTGCATCTAGGAAGGCAACAGAGAGAGGAGCTCAGAGAGGTGGAGTTATCCAGAGGTATTAAATGCTGGCAGGGGTGTGTCTGTCATAGATTGGGTCCCCTGCAAAGTGGCAGCACAGTCCTGAGTGTGTGAGGAGGGGCGAGGCCTTGGGCTCAAGATAAAGACAATGCTGATGATGATAATGGCCAGTGTTGGTTGAGTGTCCACTATGTGTGAGGCATTCACAGTGGGAGGCAGTAAAGCAGCAGAGTGGCTTGAATTCTTGAGTATCCTCAAGAGTGACAGGCTTTTTGGGGACAAGCTGGGGTCAAATTCGCTTCTGCCTCTTACCATCTATGTGATTTGAGGCAAGAAATGTAACTTCTCAGAACCTTAGTTTCCTCACCTTCACAGTGGGATAATTTTGTCTACCTATAGAACTGTTGTGAAGAATATACTATCATAAATGGAAAAATGCTTGTAAAGTACTTAGCATAGTACCTGGCACATACCAGAGGACTGAAAAATGTAATAGTTCTTAATATTCTGATGCATCTGATGAGGAAACAGCCCCAGCAGGATGTCTAGTCTACAGGTGAATGTCGAGGTTATGTTGACCTGAGAGGGGTGCCCATTGTGCTCAGTACCCAGATGGTAGTTAGTCCCATAATTGCATGGTTATGATCACAACTCTGATAATAGACAAGAATGGCTTTAAATCCTAGCTCTGCCACTTACCAGGTCAGATAACTGGGACAAGTCATTTCATCTGATCCTCAGCTTTTTATTAGTAAAATAGAGGTCATAAATACCTTCCTCCAGGAGCCTTTGTGAAAATTGGTTTTTCTAAATTCCTTAGCACAATGTCTGTGCCTAGCAGAGATAGCTGTTGGATCCACGTGGGGCCGTGGGTGGACTGAGCTCACCTGGAGGAGGTCAGGAGGATCTTCTGAACATTGAGCAGTGAATTCCAACACCTTCTGGCCAGGCCATATAGTTCTTGGACCCGAGGGTTTGAATTCTTGAGTATCCTCAAGAGTGACAAGTTTTTTAACACCTGCCAGAGTTGAGAAACCAGAAAAACAGATGTTTCACTCCCCATCCAGACTTTGGCTCAACTCAGCCTGGCAACTCGTTCTGGTCACTTAACTATGACAACCAGAAGCAGGAATGCATGGGTGCCAGGCTCTTCTCTGCTGGGACCAAAATGGGCCTCTTACCATTCTAAGTCGGTTCTGCTCAGTTAATTTGCTGATAGGCTGCTGTATCTTGTCACGTGGTTTCTCATCTTGCATCTGAGAGAGAGAGAGAGGGAACGCTAACACGGAAAAACCCCATCCCTAAATGCCTCCATTATACCTCTCTATCTGGCTCAGCATGATTTGACTAACCCCAGACTCAGAGTTTTATCACCTCTGTTTGGGGGCAGAACTAGGGAGACCATTCCAACTCCTGATTTCCCTTCACCCCGCAGCGCTCCCTTTCCCTCCACCTGCCATGGTGTGATTAGACTCTTTGTAAGGACCCTTCTAGATCCAGTCCCTAGTCTAACCTTGAAAACCACACCATTCTGGGGCCTCTTCTTTGCTGATGGACTCATGCTAGGGCTGTGATGCCTCAAAGACAACAGATGGAGCAAAACAGGTACCAGGTACTGCCTGAGCCCTGCCCCTCTCAGTTCAGCCAGTACCCAGGCTGGGCATTAGGATGGTCGTGCTGCATCTCTCAGGGAGGGGAGCTGTGACATCACTGAAATGTGTGACAACAGGGCTGGGTCTCCAAGGAGTGTGTGTGGCAGGGGTGAGGGTGAGGAAGAAACTCTCACCTGCAGAGAAACCTGGTAGGTGACAGGCAGAGGTGTATATTGTTACCACCTTCCAGTGAGGTAAGAGAATTATCCCCTCTTATTAAATGAAAAAGCCAAGGTTCAAAGAGGTTAAATAATTTACTCAATGTCATTCAGTTGAATAAAGGTGGAGCTGGAAACCTAAGGCTTGACAGTCTACCCTTGAAATCCGGGCTTCCCAACTATGCTCATCTATTCATTCACGTCACATGTGTTAACTGTACCCTGGCTACATGTCAGGTGTTTTAGGTACTGGAATAAAAGAAAATTCCTACCCTTAAAGAACTGACATTTCAGTAGAGGGCAAAAAAACCCAGCATGTATTCCTATAAATGTTCAATCATTGGCTCTGTGTGTGTCTGTGTGTGTGTGTGTGTGTGTGTGTGTGTGTGTGTGTGTGAGAGAGAGAGAGAGAGAGAGAGAGAGAGAGAGAGAGAAATTTTACTGATAAGACATCTACAATAATGAAATTTGATAATACTTTTTATTGTAAATTCCATATAGTCAGTTGATTCTTACAGTACACTTTTCTTGACTTACGCTTAACTCTCCTATCCATAATCAACCTATGGTTCTAACCTATGGTTGCAACAAGTGTAGTTCCAACACGAATGCTGATATTTTCATTTACACTAGGAGTATGAAAAGTGAAAAAATGAAAAAACAATGATGTTGGAATTCTACCCAATCATTAATGACATGATCAACTTATTTGCTGTATTGGATTATAGTTTTCAAATACTGGAAGTATATTTTCTCATTTTGGGGAGTGTGTGTAACAGCTATAGACAGGACACATGTTTATATTGAATCTGCATTATCAACATTTCCATTACTTTCTTAAGACTAGACCAGGGGTCAGGGAAATTTCTTCTATAAAGGCCATATAGTTGTAACTGCTCAGCTCTGCTATTGTAATGTGAAAGCAGCCATATATAATATGTAAATGAGTGGGCATAGCTGTGTTGCAATAAAACTTTACTTACAAAAGTAGTTGATGAGCTGGATTTGACCCATGCAAACTTCTGGTCTAGACATCAACAAAGCAATCAAACCTGATTTATCATGTTACCTATGTTTGTGGTGTAAATACGCCTTCCACCACTGATTTTAAGCTACCAATGTCACTGAAAGCAGAGTTGAACAGAAATGGAGAGTACCGTTATATATTACATATTTCTACAGATGTAAAGACTCTCAAGATCATAGATAATAGTAAAAGGCAGTAAAAAACTACAAAGTGACGAGTTTAAGCATTTTCACGTTTGCTTTTAATATCATTAATTAAGCTTGCATGATTTAATTTTTAATAATGGCTATGTTTAACAACCAGCCAGCAGAGTTCCTGAAAATGTAATAGGCTTTTGTGACCCCTAATGAGTCAGTTCCAGCACACCACTATTCTGTCAGATGGAAATAAGTGTGTGGAGGAAATTAAACGGCAGAGGGGATAGGAGAACAGAGGTAGAAGGTTTGCTGTATTAAAAAGGTGGAATGGGAAAGATTCACCAAAAAGATGAGATTTGTGAAGAGACCTGAGGGAGGTAAGAGAAGCAGAAAGTAGCAGTGGCAGGAGATGAGGGCAGAGGGGAAGCTGTGGTGAAGGGTTGGGACAGATCATAGGAGACTTTAATTTAAACTCCACTGCTTTGAATAATCTGCCTGGCTGGCTGCATCAGAATAGTCAGCTTCTCAGGCATCACCCATGGAGTTGGCCAAGTATGGGAATCACTTCACAGCTTCTAGGGCAGAGAAGTGTGCATGCATAGGGAGTGCTTAGCTCCATCTTTTAGGAACAGTGAACCAAGCCTAGATTGCACACAGCTTCTCACATGTGAATGTCCTTTATCGTTAGGATGAAGAATGGGAGCGGGAATAGTGTGTGAGTGGCTAAACACGCTGTGGCCCAGAGAAGAAACCCAGGAGGTGACTTGGAAGGGAAGACACATAGGATAGCCTCTGTTCTCCCTCCTGTCTACCCAGTACTCCTTGGCCCCTTTGCCTGCTCTGGCATCCCTCTCCTTACTGGTACACCTTCAACTCGCATCAACTGGATTCTACTGGACTCTGTGGACTTCACTAGAATCATCAACACCTGCCATTCAGCCACCAGGTGTTAAGGGCTGGGGACCCACTGTGCATTAGGCACCAAGGACAGCAACATTAGAGGCAGAACACGCTGCTTCTGCCCTCAAGAAGCTCACAGGCCTAGGATAGAGGATCCTCAAGGGCAGGGCTCTTTTTCTGTTCAATTCATTGATAAACCCCAACTGTCTGGCAGATAATAGGTACCGTGTTTCCCCGAAAATAAGACATCCTCCAGGCAGAGGGGTGTGAGGTAGGTAGGGCATTCTCAAAAGAGGGAATTTTTAAAAGTACAGGTGTGATAAGGAATTATGAACAGTTATATGTTGTAGAGAGCAAGGGCCAAGAATGGCAGTGGCTGAAACTAGAGAAGTGTACTTGACCACCAGCTGCTGAGAGTTTGTTCTGAGGGTCCAGAGGGCCTTGGACAGGGTGTGGGCCACTGAGTCAAGGGGTTGGATTCGGCACTGAGAGCCAGGTCCAGGTGCCTGTGCCATTCTGTTCTAGTCCCTCACATGCTTTTCTCTCTTCCACTGTGCCTATTTAGGGAGTTCATCTCCATAGGGTCAGGGAGATCTCTACCACCAGACTTTGTACCCCAGACATGGCTCCCAAAGCCATTTTCCATATTCCATCGTTTGGTCCTTCCATTGACTTGGGAAAAACCATTTTGCAGAGAGAGACTTATCCAGTGACACACAGCTGGCAAGCCTGCGGACTAACTCCAAGGCTTTTGAGTGGAAAAGCACCACTGTTCCCCCCATCCCCGTTAGTTGTGGTTAAGCTGTGTTAAGTACATTTACATTGTTGTGCAACCATTACCACCATCCATCTTCAGAACTCTCTTCATCTTCAAAACTGACAATACCCATTAAACAACTCTCCATTTTTCCCTTCCCCAGCCACTGCAACCACCCTTCTACTTTCTATCTCTATGAAGTTGACTGTTTTATGTATCTAAATATGTAAGTATATTTGTACAATATTTGTTCTTTTGTGACTGGCTTGTTTCACTTAGCATGTCCTCAAGGTTTATCTATGTTATAGCATGGGCTAGAATTACCTTTTTTAAAAAATCAATTTGAGAGAGAGAAGCATCAATCACTTGCCTTTTGTTTTGGAGATGGGGGAGGGGAGGTGAAGAAAGGGGGGGAAGGGAGAGGAGGGGAGGAGAAATATGGATGTGAGAGAAACATCAATTGGTTGCCTTCGGTACCAGTCCTGATGGGATCAAACCCACAACCCAGGCATGTGCCCTGACCTGGAATCATACCTGCAACCTCTTGGTGCATGGGATGAAGCTCCAACCAACTGAGCTACTGTGGCCAGGCACACCTATAATTTCCTAAGAGGTTTGTACCTGTCGAATAGTACCCTGAAGCATTGCCTTAAATCTTTTTGCAATGTAAACAAAAGGTTTTGTAGTCACATTCTCAGTTTCATTTTGGACCATGTTTTCTTGTTTGTTTTTTGCATTGTCATGGATTTGAGCTTTAGAAGAAAACCATTTCTTAATTTTACCATCATTTGCCATTTGGAGAGGTTGAGAATTTTCTGCCATGAAGTCCTGGCTCCTTTATACTTAACTGTCTTTTCTTTTATTTAGTTCAGGGTTTCTCAACCTCAGCACTGTTGACATTTGGGGCAGGATAATTCTTTGATGTGGGAAGAGGGTTTGTCTTGTGCATTGTAGAATATTTAAGTATCCCTGGCCTCCACTAAATAGAAGCCAGTAGCAACCTCCAGTTTTGACAAGCAAAAATGTCTTCAGACATCGCCCAATGTCCCCCAGGAGGCAACATTGCTCTCATTTGAGAACTGCTGTCATTTCTCTGTCTCCAGTTGCATTTACTCTAAGCAGCAAGAAGAGATTGGGTGGCATCTTCAGCACCTTACTTGGAAATGTCCTTAGCTAAGTCACTCACCTCATTAAGTACATTCCTGCTTTCTACTTGACTACTACAGGGCTGCTACACTTTATGGCACAACATAAGAATTCTTCCCCAGTTTCCAATAGTATTTATTTCACTTTCCTCTATGCCCTGACTACAACCATATCAAAGGACTGAGGCCTCTGTAACAGCTTTTTCAATGCACTTTAGTTTTTTGTTTTGTTTTGTTTTTTTAAATATATTTTATTGATTTTTTACAGAGAGGAAGGGAGAGAGATAGAGAGCTAGAAATGTCGATGAGAGAGAAACATTGACCAGCTGCCTCTTGCACACCCCCTACCGGGGATGTGCCCACAACCAATGTATATGCCCTTGACCAGAATCGAATCTGGGACCTTTCAGTCCGCAGACCAACGCTCTACCGCTAAGCCAAACTGGCTTCGGCACACTTTAGGTTTTTATTACACTCTTCTCAACATCTATTGCCCAATTCTAATGCCACTCCCATACTTTAGAGCAGTGGTTGCCAACCTTTCGGACCTCATGGATGGACCACCAGTTGGCAACTGCTGCTTTAGAGTGACAGCAGCCCTCTACCCCAGGACCCAAGTCTCTATGTTATCTATTGCTACATAGCAAATTATCCCCAAAGTTAGCAGTTTAAAACAATAAATATTTATGACCTCAAAGGTTTGGAGCATCAGGACCCCTGGAATGCTCTAGCTCAGTGATCGGCAAATTGCAGCTCGTGAGCCACATGAGGCTCATTGGCCTCTT